TCTACCCAGGGGGATAGCTTGAGGCTCTGTCAAAAAAAAAAAAAAAAAAGAGATCTGCTTTCCAGCGGGGTACCCAAGCCATCACCTCATCAACAAACTGACCTGCCAGGGTGGTTGTGTGCGTGGTGCCAGCCCCTGGTATAGGGGAGGCTGCTCAGGCCTGTGTCTACAGGTCCCACAGGCTCACGGTCTCTTCCTCCCCCCCCTTTTGTGCTCAGTGTTCCGGCAGCTTAACACAGCCATCGCCGTGTCCCAGATGTCCTCGGGCCAGTGCCGCCTGGCCCCACTCATCCAGGTCATCCAAGACTGCAGCCCCCTGTACCACTACACGGTGAAGCTGCTGTTCAAGCTGCACTCCTGTGAGTCTCTGGGCTGCGCTCGCCCTCAGAAAGGAAAATTGAGACATTGATTTTAATAATCTCATTACCCAGCAACATAACATGTATTTTATGAAAAAAAAAATTACTATTTTCCAAAACAACAGAGATTTAGTGAGAAGAGTGGTGTAGACTCTCTGGAACACCTAGCTTAGAAGAAGGTGGCCCCACTTGCTCCTGAGGGTCTCCCACCAGCTGCTGGGGGGAACAGCAAGAGCAGAAACCTTCTGAAAGGGTCCCATCCCTCAACTACCCTTTGGGAACTGCTCTCATGGGGTGCTCCATGCGTGAGCTGTGTTAGCTGAGGGCAGGTGTGTGGGCAGGTTAGGCCTGATGGGGCTGGAGTACCATCCTGTCCACTCACTGTTCTTTCTCCGACTTAGAAAATTGAGAGCTGAACCCTCCTGAGGGGTCTTGTCCCAACTTTAGGAGTGTGGCAAGACTTGTCAGGTCAGCAGGATCTCTGATCTGATGATTTCTAGCATGCGGAGGAACAGGGCAGGGGATGGGAGCCACACACCCATGTGTAGAAAGGAGACCCATTAAACTCGTGCTGCCCCCCAGGTCTCCCAGCGGACACTCTACAAGGCCACAGGGACCGGTTCCATGAGCAGTTTCACAGGTACCAGCACCAGGGAGGGTGGGGCTGAGGCACATCTGGGAAGAGGCTCTGTGTCTCCTCTGACGTCCTGTCCTGTGCTTCCCGCAGCCTCAGAAACTTCTTCCGCAGAGCCTCCGACATGCTCTACTTCAAGCGCCTCATCCAGATCCCCCGGCTGCCTGAGGTACCTGCGCCCCTCCCTGGGGCTACTCCTGGTCTTGGGGTCCTGGCCGGGTCCTACGTGGACTTCCTTGGGGGAGGTTGAGCTATTCTCATCTGCTGCCCCTGCAGGGACCCCCCAACTTCCTACGGGCCTCAGCCCTGGCTGAGCACATCAAGCCCGTGGTAGTGATTCCTGAGGAGACCCCAGAGGATGAGGAGCCGGAGAATCTCATTGAGATCAGCACTGGGCCCCCTGCCGGGGAGCCAGCGGTGAGCCTCCTGTCTGGCTCCTCCTCTTCCCCCCTCAAGCTTCCCTCTACCCCCCACCTGGATGGTCACTGTGCTTTGCTATGGCAGGTGGTGGCTGACCTCTTTGACCAGACGTTTGGACCCCCCAATGGGCCTTTGAAGGATGACAGGTGAGGGCCTGGGGAGCTGCATAGGCAGGGGCTGGGAACAGCCTTCCCTGAGCTATGCTCAGGATGCTTCTGTCTGGAAAGGCCCCAGGGCTGGTGGGGGGCAGGGTGGGCAGTGAGCTCCTGAGGTGCCCACATCCCAGGTAGCCACCTAGGGGAAAGCAGTTTTGATTTTTCTGCTTGAATGAATTTGAACCCCAAGATCTCTGTCCCCAGGGATCTCCAGATCGAGGCCTTAAAGAGGGAGGTGGAGATGCTTCGTGGGGAGCTGGAAAAGATCAAGCTGGAGGTGAGGGGGCAGAGGGTGGCTGCATCACTGCAGGGCCCTACCTGCCCCCTTTTTTCCCCACCCCACACCTGCCTCCTGCCCCCAGGCCCAACGCTACATCTCGCAGCTAAAGGGCCAGGTCAACTCTCTGGAGGCTGAGCTGGAGGAGCAGCGGAAGCAGAAGCAGAAGGCCCTGGTAGATAATGAGCAGCTCCGCCATGAGCTGGCGCAGCTGAGAACCGCCCAGCAGGAAGGCGAGCGGAGCCACAGCCTGCGAGAGGAGGCCGAGAGTGCGTGTCCCAGTGAGCGGGTGTGAGGTTGACGATGGCCCCTGCCTGCCTTGAGTGTCAAAGCTCCTCTTCTCGCTCTCAGGGAGGGCCAGTGCCACGGAGGCGCGCTACAGCAAGCTGAAAGAGAAGCACAGCGAGTTGGTCAGCATACACGCGGAGCTGCTGCGGAAGGTAGCCCACTGGGGGCAGGGCAGTGGACCCCATAGAACCCACTGAGTCCTCAGACAGCAGAATAGGAGCCTGTCGCCTGCACTTGCAGAATGCAGACACAGCCAAGCAGCTGACGGTAACACAGCAGAGCCAGGAGGAGGTGGCACGGGTGAAGGAGCAGCTGGCCTTCCAGATGGAGCAGGTGAAGCGGGAGTCCGAGCTGAAGGTATGTTGTGTGTGTGCGTCTCTGCATATGGACCCCAGCCCCCTGCCCCAGTGACACACTGTCCTGTCCTAGCTGGAGGAGCAGAGTGACCAGCTGGAGAAGGTCAAGAGGGAGCTGGAGGCCAAGGATGGAGAGCTGGCCCACATGCAGGAGTCCCTGAGACGCATGGAGCAGGTCCTGCAAGGGGCAGGGGAGTACTGGAAGCAGGCTGGGACAGTCAGGTCCTTCTCCCTGTGAATGGACCACACCTACCTGCCACTAAGGTCAGGGGGCCCTTGTGGTGCCAAGGTGCAGCCTGACCCAGACCCATGGGCAGGCTACACAGGAGATAGGACCTAGCCCAGCCCTCTGGAAGCTCATTTCTAATGAGGTGTAATCATTAACCTCTAAAGAATGGTTTGGAGATAAGGGGGCTGGCAGACCTGGGATCCCCTGCTTACTCAACACCTGTCCACAGAGTGGGTCAGAGCTGAGCTCGCGGTTGGAGGTGCTGAGCGCAGAGAAGGACACGCTGACTGGGGCAGTGCGGCAGCGGGAAGCTGACCTGCTGGCGGCCCAGAGCCTGGTACAAGAGAAGGAGGCGGCGCTGAGCCAGGAGCAGCAGCACAGCTCCCGGGAGAGGAGCGAGTTACAAGGGCGGCTGGCAGAGAAGGTATGGCTCCCAGCTTATGGCAGCACCACCACCATTGTTCATAGGCCTGTACCAGTGTTCTCAGTGTGTTCAGAGTCCAGCATCTCTCTCATGCTGCCAGAATGTTCTCAGCATTCAGAAAAGAAACTCCTGACCCAGGAACCTGTTAATCCCATGCTCCCACCTTCCCAGCCCCTGGCAGACACCAATCTTTTATCTCTTTGGATTTGCCTGTTACAGAAATTTTATGTAAATGGAATCACACGGCATGTGGCCTTTTGTGACTTCTTTCACTTAGCATCGTGTTCTCTTATCCATTGTGTAGCATATGTCATTCCTTCTTGTTTCTGGCCAAATAATGTTTCATCCTATGGGTAAATTACATTTATCTGCTCATCAGTTGATGGACATTTGGGTTTCCACTTTTCAGCTATTGTGAAGAATCCTTCTGTGAACGTTTGTGTGCAAGTTTCTGTGTGGACAAAGGCTTTCATTTCTCTTTGAGAGTATATCTAGCATGTGTGGAACCCAGTGGAACTATGGGGTCATGTGGTAGCTATATGTTTAATGTTCTGAGGAACTAGCTGGATGCAGTAGCTCACGCCTATAATCCCAGCCCTCTGGGAGACCAAGGTGGGTGGATTCCCTGAGCTCAGGAGTTCCAGACCAGCCTGAGCAAGAGTGAGACCCCATCTCTACTAAAAATAGAAAAACTAGCCAGGCGTGATAGCAGTGCTTGTGGTCTCAGCTACCCGGGACACTGAGGCAGGAGGATCGCTTGAGCCCAAGAGTTTTAGGTTGCTGTGAGTTATGATGATGCCATGACCCAGGGTGACAGAGTGAGACTCCATCTCAATACAAACAAACATTTTGAGGAACTATCAGAATCTTTGCCAAAGTAGCTACATAATTTCATGTTCTGCCAACAATGCATAAGACTTCCAATTTCTCTACATACTTGTTAACATTTATTATTGTCTGCCTGTATATTAGCCAGCCTAGTGAGTGTGAAGAGGTTTCTCTTATGGTTCTGATTTGCATTTCCCTGATGGCTAATTGGCTAATGATGTTGCATCCTTGCACATCCTTACTGGCCATGTGTATCTTTTTTTGTTTGTTTTGAGAAAGAGTTTTATTATGTCACCCTTGGTAGAGTGCCATGGCGTCATAGCTCACAGCAACCTCAAACTCTTGGGCTTAAGTGAGTCTCTTCCCTCAGCCTCCCAAGTAGCTGGGACTACAGGTGCCCACTACAACACTCAGCTATTTTTTGTTGCAGTTGTCATTGTTTAGCTGGCCTGGGCCGGTTTCGAACCTATAAGTCTTGGTGTGTGTGGCTGGCACCATAACCACTGTGCTACGCTCGCCAGGCCATCCATGGGTATCTCGAGAGATATCTATTTAGATTATGGTTTTTATTTTATTTATTTATTTATTTATTTATTTTGAGACAGAGCCTCAAGCTGTCGCCCTGAGTAGAGTGCCATGGCGTCACAGCTCATAGCAACCTCCAACTCCTAGGCTTAGACAATTCTCGTGCCTCAGCCTCCCAAGTAGCTGGGACTACAGGCACCCGCCACAAAGGTTGGCTAATTTTTGGTTGTAGTTGTCATTGTTGTTTGGCAGGCCTGGGCTGGATTCAAACCCATCAGCTCTAGTGTATGTGGCTGGCACCTTAGCCGCTTGAGCTATAGGCACCGAGCCTTTTATTTATTTTTTATTGCTAAGCTATTCATCCCTCTCTTGAGAGGGAACCGCTCAAGCTTTGGGGAGATGGAGTGAGGCCTCTCTTTGGAAGTCTCCACCCCCTCCGGTTGAGGGTAGCCACTCCACAGACAGGGTCTCAGCTGGGTCCAATGGCCTCACTGTGGATTGGCATTGTGGTGGGCCCTCTGAGCTGCCTCTTTCCCTCCCACCAGGAGTCACAGGAGCAGGGGCTGCGACAGAAGCTGCTGGACGAGCAGTTTGCGGTGCTCAGGGGTGCTGCTGCTGAGGCCAAGGCCATCCTGCAGGACGCTGTGAGCAAGCTGGATGACCCCCTGCACCTGCGCTGCACCAGCTCTCCGGGTATGTACCCAGAGCCACTGCCCTTCCGGCTTTACCCTCAAAGGTTACTTGTCCCCACCCATGTACTCCTTCTTCCTATCCCAACACTGAGAAGAGGGGAACAGGGTCATCAGGTCCTCTTGTGCTTACAGACTACCTGGTGAGCAGAGCCCAGGCAGCCTTGGACTCTGTGAGTGCCCTGGAAGAGGGTCATACCCAGTACCTCACCTCTTTGGCAGGTGAGTGCCAGGACAAGGCAAGGGCCAACTATCTGGATCCTGAGTCCAGGGTCCAGCATCCAGCAGTCATGGCTGCCTCCTTCCTTTTGAGATTTCTCTCGGGAAGCTAAGCAGAGGCCCCACCCAGGAACCCAGCCCTGCCCTTCTCTGCAGGGGGTGGGACACAAAGAGGCTTGGGGCCACACAGACCTAATTTGGTTCCCCATTTGGTTCCTGTTCCTTGGGGCAGCATGACCTTGGACAGCAGCTTCCCACCAAGCCATCTTTTCCCCATCCTGGTCTTGGGCTTCCTGGGAGGATGCGACAGAGAGAGAGGGTAGCCTTTTGGTAATGATGGCTCTGTGTTAGCATCTCACTGTTGCCCTCCCACCTATGCCTACACAGACGCCTCCGCCCTGGTGGCAGCCCTGACTCGCTTTTCCCACCTGGCTGCGGACACTATCATCAATGGCAGTGCCACCTCCCACCTGGCACCCACTGACCCTGCTGACCGTAAGTGGGTCCTGGGGCAGCAGGGTCAGCCACCTCCCTGGCTTGTTTCCCATGAGAATTTTCATAGCAGCCTGGGAAGGAGGGACCTGCAGACCTGTCCCCTGGCATCACATGGGGCTCTCTCCCTGTGCAGGCCTGATGGACACCTGCAGAGAGTGTGGGGCCCGGGCACTGGAGCTCATGGGGCAGCTGCAGGACCAGCAGGCTGTGCAGCAGGCACAGCCCGGCCTGGTGCGGAGCCCACTGCAGGGCATCCTCCAGCTGGGCCAGGTGAGGTACAGGATAGACGGGGTTGGGCCCAACAGGTGCTGCTGCCAACTGTGCCCTGTGGGCTTGGTGGATCAAGCCCACCCAAGTCTGACTCCTGCCTTCCCTAGGAGCTAAAACCTAAGAGCCTAGACGTGAGGCAGGAGGAGCTGGGGGCCATGGTTGACAAGGAAATGGCAGCCACATCTGCAGCTATTGAAGATGCTGTGCGTAGGATCGAGGTGAGGATGGAGTTTGGGGGACTCCTCAGTTCCCTCAGAGCCTTAGGGGCTGCAGGCAGTGTTTTCCAGGTCAGAACTAAGAGGGTGAGGGGCCTTCCACATTGCTGTCCTCCACTCACAGCTGTCATTGGTTGTAGGACATGATGAACCAGGCCCGCCACGCCAGCTCGGGGGTAAAGCTGGAGGTGAATGAGAGGTGAGCCCCCTTCTGTTTCCCAGGCCCAGAATGAGTAGGGTTCCCCACAGCCTTCCCAGGTTCAGGGATTCTGTCCCCTGACTGCATAGCATGCCAGAGGAAGGCCCAGGAGCTAGCAGACATGCCACCTGGGGGTGCTACTGTGCTAGGCCCTAGTGTGATGTTAAGTGGGCCAAGCCACTGAGGACCAGCTGTGCTTTCCCCTTCCATTCCACAGGATCCTCAACTCCTGCACCGACCTGATGAAGGTAAGAGGGTGACTGTGGCCCCAGTGCGGCTCTGCCTGGGGGTGCTGCTCGAGAGTCACATATGTCTTGGTCTTGGCAGGCGATCCGGCTGCTTGTGATGACGTCTACCAGCCTGCAGAAGGAGATCGTGGAGAGCGGCAGGGTGAGTTGTGTGGGCCATGGTCTGACAGTGATTCCCCTGGCAGGCTACATAGCTAACCCTGTGAGGTCTTATGTGTAGTGATCAGACACCCATGTCCCAAGGATGTGCCCCGTGGCCCTGATGAGGGGAGAAGGGCCCACAGGGGTCCTTTTCCACCTGTAATGTTCTTGACTGGCCCATCCGCCCTGTCTTCTGTCACCACTAGGGGGCGGCCACGCAGCAGGAATTCTATGCCAAGAACTCACGCTGGACAGAAGGCCTCATCTCGGCCTCCAAGGCTGTGGGCTGGGGAGCCACACAGCTAGTGTATGTCACACTGGGTGGGGATGGGCAGGGATCTGCTTCCTATGTAGTTGGGGGCATCAGGGTACATGGTACTGTGTCTGGGAGTGGGAGTGGGGAGCATGGGGGTGGCCCCACCATCCTCAGGTTCAGAGACCCTGCCCCAACCCACCTTGTCTCCCAGAGAGTCGGCTGACAGGGTGGTGCTGCACATGGGCAAGTATGAAGAGCTCATCGTCTGTTCCCACGAGATCGCAGCCAGTACTGCCCAGTTGGTGGCGGCCTCCAAGGTAAGGCTATGTGCTGGCATCTGTAGACCTGTCCATGCTTGCCCGGGGTCCCTTACTGCTGGCTGCTGCTGCCACCCTGTGCCCACCCTGACAATCTCCCCAGGTGAAGGCCGACAAGCACAGCCCTCACCTGAGCCGCCTGCAGGAGTGTTCCCGCACCGTCAACGAGAGGGCTGCCAACGTGGTGGCCTCTACCAAGTCAGGCCAGGAGCAGATTGAGGACAGAGGCAAGTGCCTGGGTGTCTGAGGGCCGCAGCCAGCTCCCAGGCTGGCAGGAGGGGAGCCCACTTACCTTGTCCTCTGGCCACAGACACTATGGACTTCTCTGGCCTGTCCCTCATCAAGCTGAAGAAGCAGGAGATGGAGACTCAGGTAGGTAGTAGGTCACTGAGCCCCAGTCAGTGGAGGATCCTCCCTGGGGAGGCCAGGCCTTGCTAATGGGGCCATTTGGGCTGCAGGTGCGTGTCCTAGAGCTGGAGACAAGGCTGGAGGCTGAGCGCATGCGACTCGGGGAGCTACGAAAGCGGCATTATGCGCTAGCTGGAGTGGGGGCAACGCCCAGTGAGGAGGAGCCTGGCAAGCCCAGCACTGCCCCTCGAAGTGCTACCACCAAGAAGCCACCCCTGGCCCAGAAGCCCAACGTGGTCCCCAGACAGGAACACCAGGTGCCGGGCATCAGTGCTGGGCTGGGGGGGATGCCCCCACCATGGGCAGCATGGTGAGCAGGAATGCTCGAGGGGTAGGTGGGGGCCTGGCTTGGGCTGTGTCTCATTCCCTTGGCCATGTTTACTGAACTTCCACCTTTGACCCCAACAGCTCAACACAAAGGATGGTGTCTACCCAGCTCAACTCGTGAACTACTAGGTCCTTTAGGGGTCTGGCAGGCCAGCTGGTGGGCACGTCTGGGCCTCCTGTGGCCAAGGGGCCTCGTCCCTACACCTGGTGCCTGAGCCCCTAGCCCAGGTCAGTGTCCTCAATGCCCTTGGCTGGGCCTGGGCTGTATGGATTGTTCTTCAGGATGTGAGTCTATTCACCTCCAGAAGGAGCTTGGGAGAGAATCCAGGACCCAGGAGGCCTGAGCCAACAACTCTTCAGGAAATATACGGAACATTTTTAATATTCTGCGTTAGAGCTTTTCTTCTAAGTTTATAGTCAGCCCACTGGGAAACAGGGCTACTTGAGTGGCCCCTGCCTTCTGGACACAGTCTCTGGCCTTAGGGCACTGATTCCACGAGGCCCTCAGGCCTTAGTAGATGAGGCTCTGGGGTGGTCTGTAGGGTGCTTCTTCCTGGGCCACCATAGGGCAGCCCTGATGTGAGTCCCTAGGGGAGCGGAGGCTAGAAGTGGCTGCTATCTGGGGAGCAAGGCAGGGAGGCAGGTGGATGTCCCCTGCAGGCAGCTGGCCCAGGTACTGCCTTGAATCTGCAGCCACCCCCGTTTCCTATTTTCCGTTCCCCTGATCTGGCTGCCTCTGCTCTGACCCTCCCCATTGCCCATTTCCACCCCTGGGTCCTCTAGCTCAGCTAGAGCAGCCCAGGAATCAGGGTGGTTTGTGGCTGGGGAGGGTTAGCCCAGCCTTGTCTGCCACTGACAGATTTGAAGGAATGTATCCTGAGCCCAAGGAGAGTGGCTGTAGGGATAGGGACTGGGCTGAGAGGGCAGAGCCAGCACTAGGCTAGGCAAGCACCCTGCCCCCCGCAGCCCTTCTCACCATCTTTCTGCCCCGTGCCCTCGTGTTGAGTATTCCGTTGGCAATAAAATGCACTTTGACTGTTGTCACCAATGTTTCAGAATGAGGGCTGTGCCTGGCTCTTCACTTCTCCAGGAGTACGTGTTGCTTCCTTCATTAGGCCCTGGCCAGGTACTGGGTAGGGGACCCTGTAGTCTCTGCAGGTAACACAAGAGCATTTGGGACCATGGAGAACCTCAACTGAGATGCTGCTGGTTCTGCCAAGAAGTGTCCACCTTCTGTCTCTGGGCAATTTATAAGCCATGGGGCCCTCCTTTTATGCAGGCAGCTGAAAGTCAGCCACTACCCCCAGGCCATCTCCATTCCCAAGACTAGACCCCATGGCCTCCCTGGGTCCCCCTCGGGTTGTTGACAGTTTCTAGCTTTCCAGGGAACCTGACTCCAGCTGGTCTGGACTTAACCGCTGTGGCCACACACAGCATCCAGGTCCCTGAATGGTACTAGCCAAGCAAGCACCAATTTACCCAGGACACATGCCAGTTGGAAGACTCGGGCAGGGTTGTCTTGTCCCCAGGTCACCAGCATTGACAGTGCAGGTCAGGGGAGAAAAGTCACCTTGGATGGCTCCAAAGCAGTCAGCTCCTGCTGTGTGGCTTCAGGCTAGCCTGCCCATGCCTGAGTTTTCCGCCTGCACACACAGGTACATGAGATCCTGTGTGAAAGTGCTTCACAAACTGGTTGCCTAAGGCAGGCCTGCCAAAATGGAACCTATGTCTGGTTCCTGTTGGTAAGGTAAAACAGCTTCAAAGAACGCTTTATAGCAAATAATTCTCTACTAAATCTAAACCAGCAAAAATTGGCAGGAACTATACTTAATTGACCCTAGGAAACCTGAATTGGTAGTAAGTCTTCAGTGGAGATTCTACCTCAGGTATTGTGGGGTAGAAAGTGAAGTTTCATGTGGTCTTGCTAGCCCGCCTAAGGTCCTTTTGGTGAGCAAAGGGCTCATAGAAGACAGGATCTATTTTGATTTTTTTTTTCTTGAGACAGAGCCTCAAGCTATCGCCCTGGATAGAGTGCGGTGACATCACAGCTCACAGCAACCTCCAACTCCTGGGTTCAAGCAATTCTCCTGCCTCCACCTCCCAAGTAGCTGGGACTACAGGCACCCGCCACAATGCCTGGCTATTTTTTGGTTGCAGCTGTCATGGTTTGGCGGGCCCAAGCTGGATTTGAACTCGCCAGGGCAGGTGTATGTGGCTGGTGCCTTAGCCATTTGAGCCACAGGCCCCAACCCAGTCTATTTTATTTGAGACAGAGTCTTTGTGGCCCAGGGTAGCAGTGCCATTGCATCATAGCTCACAGCAACCGCAAATTCTTGGGCTCAGACTGGGCGCCAGTAGCACAGTGGTTATGGTGCTGGCCACATGCACTGAGGCTGGTGAGTTCGAACCTGGCCCGGGCCAGCTGTAACAAAAATGACAACTGCAACAAAGAATAACCAGACATTGTGGTGGGCACCTGTAGTCCCAGCTACTTGGGAGGCTAAGGCAAGAGAAGCACTTAAATCCAAGAGTTGGAGGTTGCTGTGAGCTGTGATGCCACAGTACTCTAGCAAGGGCAACAAAGTAAGACTGTCTCCAAAAGAAAAAAAATTCTTGGGCTCCAGGCATGATCCTGCTATGTGGCTTCAGGCTAGCCTGCCCAATGCCCAAGTTTTCTGCCTGCCACACACGGATTTGAGGAACCACAAGACTCAACTGTGCAGTCCAGCACCCTCATTTGAAGTGGATAGCAAATTTAGCTATAAGCTTCTTAGCAGCCACTAGGAAAAAAAAATAGGAAATATGTACTTTTATGAAAAAGCATCCCTCTTCCTGACAAAAAGCACTTTTTCCTGCACATCCTCATGAAACAATGTGCCTGGAATGGCAGCCTATTTAGAGGAGACAGCATGGGTAGGCTTGCACCTAGCTCAGTGTTCCCAGAATCCTTTGCAAGGGTATCATGGCCCAGATAAATAGCTCAGCCAGAGGGGCAGACACACGAGCATAGGCATGGTACTCTGCACAAGAGGCAGGGCTGGCCCAAGGCCCTTCTCCCAGCCTTGATAGGGAAGCAGCACCCCATTGGGCCTTCATGTGGGCAAGTGCCACTGTGTCCCCTTGAAATACCTGCCAGCAAGTACCCAAAGATGTAGGGATGTAAATTTCCCATCTGAAACAAGTATGAAATGTCTTAGATATCCTTCAGTTGTGTTGCACACAGTTGTGACCCGTGTACAGAGGCCAGGGACAGCCTGAGCCCTGAGGTCATCCTCAGCCCCTTGCTCTGGCATTGTAGTTTCCATCCTGAAGACACATTTTCTTTATGCATGGGAGGATTTGCTTCTTTCTGCCCGTAACTGGTGTTTATGAGACTCTCCCTGCAGTTAGTGTATCAGAGACTTTGGACAGAACCTTGGAAGGCTTTTGACTTTTAAGAACAGAGCCCACCACTCTACCCCCATCACCTTCTCCTGCTGGAACTTTGATCACTGACTTTTAGAACCAAACACATCATGAACATCCACAACCCCAGGTAAATAAGTGACAGGACTGTTAACAAGTCTCTTTATTAAAAAGGGTCCTACAGCTTTACAACCACATTGCCAGATATGGCCCTGGACAGTGACAGTGGGCCCAGCCTGGCAGCCCTCATAGTATCAACACCAAACTTGTGTCTCACCAAGGCCCCTGCTGGGCTGCAAATATCCCCAACAGCAGGCTGGCAGCAGAGGTATTGGAGGTGGGTGGCACCACTTGCTTGAGATTCACAGAACATAGCAACCCCACCTGATTGGTGTGGCAGTGAATCATCCTTTACAGCTCCATTTTCTTTTAAGAACAGTTACAATACAGTAGAGTTCAAGTCCAGAAGCAGGAGTATACGGTAACTGAGGACAAAGGTTGGTGGCCTGGTCTATGGGCCACTAGAACAAACTGTTTCAGCTCTGCCTTGATTCAGTCACTGTGATGGTAGCCAGCTGACGGTCATAGGTCAGGTCCCGGCTGCTAGATGTGACAGACGAGGACTAAGCCAGAAGTTCCACCAATGAGCACACAGGCCTTGTCAATAGGTGCATGGTGCTGCGTCCAGCCAGGACCTGGAAGTCAGTACATGTGGCACAGAGACGAGATCCCAGAGGGAATAGAAGGGGCGATGCAGGTGGCCAGGACATACCCTGGGGTTGTGGATGTTCATAATCACCCCTTGATCCTGATGGTGAGCTTTCTCCAAACCCTCCTGCTACCCCGTCTGACACCTACAGCACCACTTGGCCCTGGCCTAGCCACAGGCCAACCAGAGGCAGGAAATGTTGGCTAAGAGAATCCTGGTTCAAAGGTGGCCAGACTTTTTCACCTGTAGCGAAACAATGAACTTGAACAAGCCCTTCTGAGAATGCTGAGTGCCAGGGGCTTTGCCCAGCCCCTTGCAGGCTTCTGAGTCCTGGCACCAGGTGAAGCTAAGGCACAGCAGGGCACCTGCAGGTGTGACCATGTACTGCCTGCATGAAAAGAATTTGCATTCACTTCATCTGCATTTCTATCTGCTCAAAACAATATTTGTTTTTTATAAAATTTCCCTGAATGATCTTCGGAGTGTCAAAAGAGTTTTCTTTCCCAATATAAAACAAAATTACACAGGTAGTAAAAATATTGGGGGAGTTTTTCTTCATAGAAACCCTTGGGGACTGGCTCTAGGCAGGAGGGGAAAGGAGGGGGCTGGCGATAGTTTGCTGTGCAAAGTCCAGGCCCCAAGTTTCCTTGAGCCCGGGCTGCAGCTCTCCCAGCCTCTGAACATGGCAGTGGGCCAAGTGCAAACTTTGCTTGTGGCTTTGAGGCATGAAAAGCAGCGGCCAGGTAGGGAACACAATGTAGCTGCACATCATGGCCCAGCCACAGGCCAATGCTGGCCACCCCTTACCAGGGATGCAGCAGCCAGTGGGCCAAGACACACAGAACTGTCCTTTGGAAATAAAACAGAGATCACTAACCATGCTTTTTAAATAATGCTGCAATGGGAGGACCATAATTCTAAATGGGAATGAGAGAGGCTTTGTTTCTTCCCAGGCGCGTGAGTCCATCAACAACACAACACTCAGAAATCATACTGAGAACACAAACCAACATGACAAAGGAGTGCCGGGCTGTGACCTGCTGCACACAACCACCTCGGTGTACAAAACCTGGGCTTCTACCTCTACTTACTCATAGACCTACAGTTCTAAAGTCAGACAGACAAGCTGGCCCAGGGCACAGAGCCCTCAGCACAGCAGCCAGACCTCACAGCCCCGTGTGCGGAACATGGCATGGCAGGCGGAGGACATATCCCAGGAAGCCTGTGGCGTTGGCACTCACTGAAGGATGAAGCCTGGCTGGTGCGGAGGCAGCCGGGGTGGGGGTCTCTGGGGCAAAGCTGGCGGGAACGGTGACACAAACTGTGCAGAGAATCCTTGCTGGGGTGGGAGACCCACTCGGGGGGGGAGGGGTGGGCATTGTAATCCTGGGTAGGGCATGGCCTGTCCTGAGCCCATGGCAGCGGTAAACGGGGTGGCTAAGCGTCCTGCAGGCACCAGGGGCGGTGGCGGGGGAATGCGCCGAGGCACAACTGAGGGAGGCCCACTGGCTTCTGGGGCAGGGTAGGGCAGGGCAGCAGCGGCAGACACTGGCTCGGGCACCCTGGGTGGCAACAGGGCTGGGGCCTGTGGGAGTCTCTGCCCCTTTAGCACCATCTCCTGGAGCTTCTCGATTTTCACTCTTCGCATGTGGGCCAGTTTCCGTTTGCTCTGATAGACATCAATGAAGGAGTCTAGAGGAAGCTCTCCATCCAGAAACTTCTCTGCCATGTTCTAAAAGAGGCAGGAAAAGCTTGGTTATAAGAGCAGTCTAGCTCCCTTCACAGTCCAGGGCACAGAGGGAGGCAACACCCTAGCTTCCTCCTAACACCCCCTTTCCTGGTAACTACCCCAGAGGTCCATATTTCTGCCACTCCAGATTCTGGAGATCATGGGTTCAGGATGACAGCAGGACCTACTGGGAAGAGAGGGAGGCAGTCCTGTTAGACAGCCACCCTTCTAACCGCCAGCATGGACAAGCAGCAGGTCTGGGGGAGCAACCTTCAACATAGGCTCCCTTAGCAGCCGTGACCTCTGGGCCCCTGGTCCTTTCTCATTAAGCCAGCTGCAGGCCAACCCCTCCTTGCTTCCACCAGGCAGACTTGCTCCCATGGGTCAGTACAACAGAACCTTGCCTGTGTACATCAGGGCCCCCCAAGGCCTAATGGTTAATCAGATCAATACAGCCTGATCTTGGCAACACCCTGCCAGCCCTGACTTGCTACAACTGGGCAGCATTTGACCTTGACTCATTTCCTGATCACCTATGAGGTTTGCAGAGACTCAAGTACTCAGCTGGCCCCATAGATGACTCAGAGCACAGCAGACAGTAACTCTTGCCACTGGCACTCATGGAGCTGGTGCTGAATCAGTGCTATGTACACGTGCCCTGCACTACCTGGACCCCAACCTGGTACTTTTCCCAGTCCACAGGCCAGGCTGCCCGCTCAAATGCACATGTAGGGGGATGACACCACCTAGTCATGGAGGTGTGGTGCTCACTGGCCCTAGAGGAAGTAGGTGCACTGACTGCCCAAAGTCACCTGAGACCCAGGAAGCCATGCCCTGGGGCACTTTGAATTTAACTGGCTTTACCTCAGTGTCTTCCTCAATCTTGGCCCCTTCTGCTTGAAGAAGTGCTAACAGGGTCTCCAAGGAAGCGCTGCTAGACTGTTTATCTGGAAGAAGCGAGAGACATGATGCTGTGAGCGGCATCCAGACAAAGCCCCTGCTGATGACACCCACCTGGACACTTTCTTGTTTCTATCAGAGAAAGAGTCTTTTCAACTAGAATGGCAATAGGACAGTCACACCTACTGAAAGCTGAAAGTAAAGGCCTTAAGGCACCTGTAGTCCCAGCACCTTTCCCATAATATTCTAATATTTCTCTCTTGGTAGGGCAACACCTTGAAAATATAACACTCCCTCAACTCTTTCTGTCTCGAAAGATCACTTTTAAAAAGTTACCTAATTTGGTCTTCTTTATCTGATAGGCTTCAAAGAGAACCTGGAGCTCCTGGTACTTCTGAGTCAACCGTGCTTTCAGAGTGTCCAGCTGGGGCTGGTACAAAAGGTTTCCTTCTGCCAGGCTACGGTTGCTGGCAAGTGTCATTTCTTTGTTAAGCTGAATATTCTGCGTCTGCAAGGAAGGAGCAAAGAGGACAACGAGAACCAAAAGTATATTAGTTTATAAACAAGTTCCTGGAGATCCTCAGGCCTACTGAGGAGCCTGTCACATCTGCTGCCATCTCACTGGTCTCCAGGCTGGTAGCACATACCAGGCAGATGCCACCAGCCTAGATTTAGGCCCATCTGGTTTCTCCTTTGGACAGTGTTCCCTATTCATAAAGAGCAAGGCTGATTTCCTTTTGTACACGTCTCCAGGATGGGCTTTTCCCTGTGACTCCATGTTAAGATTTCACATCAGTGGCCATGCTGTGACTTGAATTCCTTAGTGCTGCTGCCATTGTTATCTATAGAAGTAAATAGCCGTAAAGATTTACAGCTAGATTTTTCCAAAACAGTTTCTGGTGGTACAAAGGAAGTTAAAGAACCATTTTTATCGGAAGCAGGGCCAGTTGGCATGATGTCAATTCAGGCTTCATAATCAGGCTTAGAGAGCCAACCAGCAAGTCTGAAAGACTCTTGAGAATAAATTACATTTATAGTCACCCTGGTCCTTCCGTCCCTCCTGTGTCCCTCCGGTGCCTACCACCAGCTCCCAGTCTTCCCAATTCCTGGCTGTGAGCCCACTAGCAGAGCCAACCCAAAGCTGGGTAAGGAGGGGGACTTATTTTGCCCAAAGAGGTTTCACTCTGACCTTTCAAGCAATGACAGGCTACCTGGCAGGCAGAGAAGCCACCTGCCTAGACCTTAGGAGTGAAAGGGGGAAATAGACGGTCTATGAGTAAGAGGTAAGGTCGCTGTCACTCCTAACACAACTCAGCCGAAGTATGTTTAAAGAAAAAAGGAAACACACATTCATACTCCAGTTCCCCTCTCCCTTCCTCGTGACTCGCTTCCTGCACCACAGCTGCCACCTCACTCTCCGAACTGTTAAGTTTGACAGCACGTGATTCCTCACCCAGGGTGGCCATGTTTCTCATTAAGTGGCTCTACTTCAGCTCCACCCCAGTCATCTCATTTTCCCCTTGTATTTTCTACTGCCCCACCCAGTCTATTTTTGCTGTGACTTCCTTCCTCTTGGTTTGGTATGGATTCCCAGCGGCTGCCCCCTATCCGTCATGCCCATTTATTGCTCTTGCAGAGTTCCCAGTATACTTGTGCACACACCACACAAATAACATGAAGAAACCAAAGCCAGAGAACAAAGACAAAAGCTTTTGGATCAATACCTCACTCAGGAGCCCCCTCACCAGCAGGCACTATTCAGCAGACACATAATCTGCATGCCCCAGGCAGTGACAGCTGGGCCCAAGGGCCATAAAGATTAGGTGCGGCTTAGAACGGAAAGGATTTAAATTACAAAGGAAAATTAAACCTCTAGCTCAACACTATAAAATAAAAGCTAGGAATGTCCCCCAAAATTAGGGCAGTAGAAATGCTCTCATCTCCCAGCTTCCCTTAGCAAGGACAATTCTGGGGCTGGAAAGACCAAGTCTCACCTGGGTCCCTGGTAAGCATGTGGAATGCTCACCCACTTGAGCAACATGATCTGTGTGCCCCACCCAAGAGTTTTTCCTTCCACTGTTAGAACAGGCTCGGCGCCTAGGGCTCAACTGGCTAAGGGGCCAGCCACATACATCTAAGGTAGCGGTTCGAATCCAGCCCGG